ATACAACTCGCATCTGTGACGTATATGATTTTCGCTATATCTAAGCACCCATACATCTTTTAGTATGTCCTCCTTACTCACGTTATATTCTGCAAAAAGAGTAGAGAGATTACTTAAAATTGGTCGTTTTATAGATATGTTAGTACAACAGCTTATCTCAATTACAGAAATATATATACGCTATTATTTAACTTACCATGTAATATGTTCATTTTCTTGTCTATAGAGGAAATTGGAATTTTTATTAAGAATGAATTCAGTACCGTTACTTCACACAACCGTTGTATGCTGCACTGGAAGGAGATGCAATTTTATAGCATGTGCTACAACACGAAACAAGCGTAATTATCCGACAAATCCCATTTCAATTCCATTCAAGTTCTTTTTCCCACAAACCCCTATCTTTCGTCTCATAATAATAATATAAAATTGCGCCAAGGAAAGATTGTTCAGACTGAAATGTTCACTTAATTGTTTGCGACAGATACTAGAGAATAAAATAATATAAAATACAACTATTCCCAACTTCCTAGTCTCGGAAGAGTCGGCCCTTCTTCTCCTTAACTTGTTACGCAATGGTAGTATACGTACATATACTACCATTGCGTAACAATTCGATAACTCAATATCTCTTGTTTACTTCTTATACCTCCAATTTATGAGAGAGATACTCCATCCTGTTATACGTATAAAAATCCATATCCTGTTGAGTGTAAAGCACATAGTTTGCCAGCTCGTCCTGAGTCAAGCACAGCCACGGTACAAGCTGGTTATTGTCCATGTTGAGGACCTTGATACAATCGAGCTTATCCACGAGCCTGTTGTTCTCGTACGCCAGCAGCCAGACGTTATTTATGACAGTAGCTTTCTGCACGCCAGCCTCTATCAGGCTATAATAATTGTTCAGAATGTTCGCCCTGGAGCGCTTCTTCAGCTGCGGATACTCCTGGACGAGCTTGTTGATCTCCACCTTCGATATACCGAGTATCTCCTGCAGGGTGTTCCTCAAGATTCGCAGGACGGGCCTGTAGTTGACGAGGTACTCGTCGTAGTTCGATATCTTACAAGTGTGATCGACTATGTCCACGTGCTTGCAGAGCATTCTGTTCTGCGAGCCGGACTCGGCGACGAGCGAGCTCATGCACAACGACAGAGCCGGCTTCGAGGCCCGCGGCTGGCGAGGTCGCGGCTTCAGCAGGAGACTCACGATTATCGGCCGCGTCAGTTGCCTAGCCATGATCCTCCGTCTTAAAGTGCCTCGTCTCTGTCATAAGATCCCTGTTTTTCTTCGAGTATCTTCTGCGGAAAATATCGCAGAACATTTACCTTCGCATCTTTTGTTAAATACGAACTTCCGTCAAGCATTCATAACCTAACCTAACCTATACGTATCTAAGAGACCTCGTCGTTTTATGAATATTACGAGTCTCGCGTAATTTAATGTATTTACCAAAGAATTTGGGCAGTTACGGATTTTAATGTGGTTCGTGAGTAGCGAACAATTTAATTCGCGTGTACTGTACGCAAGTGTCTGATGCTATTTCCTATATCTGAGGGTGCAAACCACGGTCCTGAGAGCGGCCACGCCGTAGGCCATAGAGGATAGAGGGTTTACTTGGGACCGATTTTCGCCATCAAAAGTGGATGTAAGAACTACGGAGACACATCTACTTATCGACGCAGTCGATAAATATCACTTTTTGGTGCGTGTCCGTGCTAAACTTTTCGATATTGTAAATAAATCACTTTTTGGTCCGTGTACGTGCTACATCCACTTTCCGACACTGTCAATAAATCGCTTTTTAGCGTATGTCTATGCTATATCCACAATTTATGGATGTTAAGACAATGTTGAAAAAGTGGATGTAGCACGGACACACACCAAAAAGTGATATTTATCGACCGTGTTTTATTAGGAAAAAATGTTACAGACAAAAGCTGTTTGGTTCGATATACATATACATATGTATGTATTTGTTTGGTTCGAAATAAGACTATATTTCATTATATGTATAGTAGTGTCTTTGAAAAACTCTTGACATAAAAATGTGCAGTGCCCA